GAGGCGAGGGCTGGCCCAGGGCTCCTGGCTTTGAACGTGGCTGTCCTCCCAGGCGGAGGGTGCGAGCAGGGCCCATCGTCAAAGGGAAAGCAGTCGGAGACACCCTCTCGTCACCCGGAAAAGTGATCCAGGTAACCCCTCCGCAGCCATTATTCTCTTCCCAGCAGAAAGAGCTGGTGGCTGAAAGATAATTTAACCCTCTCCCCTGCTTCTGCCGCAGCGGGGAGGCCAGCCCTGAGCCGGCGGCAGTGGGGTGAGCAGGGGTGTTTTGTTACCCCCATTTCCTGCTGTGCTCCCCAGTCTTCGGGGCAGGTGTCCCCCGCATTGCAGGACGCCCAGAGCATCCGAACCCTGCCCTGTGGCAGGGCGGGAAAACCGGATCGGCTGTCTGCTCCTTTAGGGTGATATTATCGATATCATCCCCTCGCCCCCGGTGCGGATGTGGGAGGGAGTAGGCTCAGAGCCGCGCACGGCAGCGCTGGCGATGCGAGTCGCCCCGCGCACCTGCGGAGGAGGTAAAAAGCAGCTCAGGCCAAATCCCAGGTATTTAATTCATCATTGGCCAAAATATCCTGTTTCATCTGGGGCTCGGGTAATATTTCCTGTCCCTTTGCAAGTCCATTTTGAAATGAAGCAAAACAAAACATTATAGATCCCTTCCTTTCCCTTCTCGCTTTTCTTCACCCCAGGTTATTTACTGATTTTGGCCTGAATTTGGACATAAGATTCTCGCAAGTTTATTCTTCTCCGTAAAAATTTGCTCAGCTCAGTTTGTGTTGGTGCAGCCAGATTTGTATGTGGAGGTATGAAGGCAACTGCCCGGGCTGGTGGGGTCCTCTCTAGACCTGTGGATCCTGCGATCACAGCTTCCTGGAATGGGACATGGCACTGACTTCTGGATTTCTTTCCTGCTGTTTTACTTGTGCAATTTCAGTTCATATGACAGATAATACTAGCTCTTAAAAAATACTGATGGGTTTGCGTACATGCTGAGAGCTATCGCAGTGACAGAGCAAGGAGAAATCCCTCTGAGCCGTGCATGGTGACCCTCCTGCCCCAGCTGCCTGCTGGGGACCCCTCTGCACATGAAACATGGAAGTGAGAAAAAACCAAAACCTTTCAAAATGCTCTGGGCAAACCCAAACCAGCTGACAAAGTAGCCCCCCTCCCAACACGCAGGTGAAAAAATCAGCCTGCAGGTTCAGCTTAAAATGTTGATTAGGTGACAGGGCTGTTCCTTAAGTTCGCAAGGTAAGCGGAAAGCTTGCAAAACGGGAAAACACGGAGCAAGCTGCCAGCCGAGCCGGTCAGGTTGCAACCGCTACAGTAAACTTGGCGAGACCCCCTGCTTAAAGCAGGAGCAGTGAACAGAGCTCTGGTATAGCTTGATGCTGCCGCTGGACGTGTTTGGAAAGACAGCAAAAACGGTTTTTGTTGGTTGCAGCGGTGCGGCGGGCGGGGCAAGTCTGGGCATGGGACATTCCTCCTACATGGGCACTCCGTGAGAGGCACTGCCACCCACCCCCGTGCCACCCCACCATCGCCGCTTTCACAAGAGCCCTCTTGGGAATTCATGCAGGGTCTTCACGCAAAGCTGCAAAATGAGCGGCTTGCTTAAGGGCAGCAGAACAGCTGGGCCAGGGCTTTTGTGTTTTGTGCCTTGGTGAGGTTTTGGTTTTAACAAAAGGGTAGTTAAAAGAGTATGGTTTTTACAGGACACTCAGGGTGTCTCTGCGGCGATACTGATATTTATACATTGCGCAGAGCCACCACAAAGAACACCTCTGAAATCAAAAACACTTTCCTGACAAGAAATTTGGGCTGGCCACAAAACCACATCCTCTGGCCTGTGTCCCTTTCATGAAGGCAAGCTTCGATTTCCCATCTGAGAAGTTTGTAAACCAAGCAGCACAGTCAAACTCTCTCCCACATATTTTGAGGGGGAGGAGAATAATATCACACAAGTGAATCACAAACACTGGAAAAGCAGAAAATGCAAAAGTTAAGGTGATGGCTCCCACCCAAGCTCTGTATCTTAACTCTGACCATGGTGGAGAGTTCGTGGTGGTTTATTTTGGGGTGTAAAAGGCACTCTCAGGTTCAGAGAAACAATTCTGGGGACCCTCTTTGCAGTAGCAGCCTTTCTGAGCACTCAGTCTGGGGAGCTGGGAGGAGACTTGGTGTTTCTCATCCTTGTCCCAAGGCAGGCAGGATGGGGAGCCCAGGGTGACCGGAGCCGTTCCTCCTGTCCGGGGTGGCCTCTGTGTGGTGAGGGCCTGACGGGACTGTGGCAGCAGTGACGGTACCAGGGTGTCCCTGGAAATGCATGAATTGGAATCCTAGTTTTGGAGTAAAGCACACAGAAAAATATCAAAACAAACTTTGCGGGTGTAGAGGCGCATTGGGATATATTCCCACTTCCTCTCCCAAAGGCTGCTTGGCGCAGGAGGCATCAGTTTCCTGAGCCGGGGTAACAACCCCTCCGAATGGAGGTCTGTGCCCCTCCAACCCCAGGGAGCTGCTGGCGTCCTGCACAGTCAGCCTGTATGACAGTAAGTGATGGAGCACAGGGTTCATTAGTCTGCCAGGATGACGCCAGAGGCACGGACAGCGCACTCACAATACACAGGCAATCGCGGGTAGCTTAGAGAATTATTTTTTCCAGCTGCTTGTGATTAACTTTAGTGATGCAGATGGAGCTTCCCTGACACAGTCAATCTTGAAGAAGTAGTGTTGTAATAACCAGGAGGGACTAAGGGCACAAGAGATGCAAGGTCCATAGGGGGAAGTTTCTCTGCTGAAGAAAGCTCCTCTACCTTTTGAAGCAGTTGTTTTGAGAAAAAATACTGCTTTCCTTCCAAACACTCCCTCATTTAATCTTCTCCCCTTGTTGGTAATACAGGTCACATAAAGTCACATTTTATCACAGAACACAAAGCAGCAGCTCATTATCAAGTTTCTCGATAAGTTCTGTCCTTCAGCTTCTTCTCAAGTATGCAGTGACCGCTGGTGGCTTTCTGCCTTAGGGGACCAGGAGAGAATGCTCCAATGGAGAGGGTGAAGAAATTCATTTTGCTTCCTCTCATCTTAACTGCCTCGCTACCAGGTAGGACACATTCATAACTCGTGAAATAAGCCACTGTGGACAAAATGTGTGAACTAATTTGAAAGCTGTGTAAATGGCAGTTACTGGTGATATCAGATTGAACCGTCAGTCCCAGAGGGGGGTTATTTAAACTGAAATGGTTAGGTTTGCGCTTCAAGCCTGAATGATCTGATGGCTTAGAGTGGGCTTCAGTATGCAGGAGTGAGCAGTGGATGGGGTGGGGAGGAGATGGAGAGGCTGCCCTCTCTCATTTCCAGTGAGCAGGGATGATCCACTTATTTCTCCCTCTCCTTGCATTCATTTTCCTCCTGTCTGTTTGGGAGGGGGCATCTGTAGAGACCTCGATGTCAGCAGCTGATTTTGCTTCCAGAAATATATGCACATTATAATTTTGCTAGTTCGCCTCCAATTTACATTTCACATGTCTGAGTTTCAAAATGAATTCAGATGAAAGGTATCTTGGTGGCTGAGCTTTAAAGAAAATGTGAATATAAAGTGACTAGCTGGGTAACGTAGACAAGGCTGATTTTTTTTTTTATTATCATCTAGCTGGGATTTTAACAGGCTCTGAAAGGAGGGAGCTGCAGTGGGATGAGAGAGAAGGCATTGTCATGGCTTAATAATTGGTGAAAGGAAACACAATGCAGGAATAAAATTGAGTTTTCTGAGCAGAGTGGTATTCCCAGTGGAGTTGCACAGGGATGTGTGGTATTCAACAAGCTCTTAAACAACCTAGTGAAGAGGAGTGAACTGTGAGGTGGCAGACTTTGCAGGTGGTGCAGAATTACTTAGGGCAGCCAAATCCAAAAAGAGACTAGGAAGATTTGCCAGAAAATGTCATGATGCCAAGTGAGTAAGTAATAAAGAGCAGAAAACATTCAATGCAAAGCATCACTTCACTGAAGATGTCTAGTGGGGGAAAAGAGTAAATATGTCGGAAAGAGAGTAAATTGCTGAAAAAGAGAAAAAAATTTACTGCTTAGTGTCTTCAGCAAGGGAAATACAATGAAACCTGGCATTAAATAAATCCACAGAAAGCTTATATCTTGAATACTGGATGTTTTGTCAGTCTTTCCGTTTAAGAAAGGACATATTAGGTCTGAGAAAGAAATAGTAAAAATTTATTAAAATAATTAATTATATGGAGGTGAATGGTGAAATGGTTATTCACAGTTCCTCATAACAAAAACAACTAGTGGCAACCAGTAAAACTGTCAGAAAGAAAATTTAAGGCAAACCAGAGAATGTACTTTTCCTCGCAGTATGTAATTAAATAGTAAAGCTCATGGTCACTGGATATGGGGGATACCAAATCATAAATAGGCTGAAAAAAAGCTAGAAAAAAATATCGCTGAGGGTAGATCCATAGGTGCAGATGCAATCATTGTCTCAGGAAGTCCCTAGATCTCTTCTTTTTTGACACTAAGATGTTATAACAAGGAAACCTCTATTTTTAGTTTTTCTGTTTCTTGCACTGTCTTCCTAAGCGTACGAAGCAGAGTACTACGTGCTTTAGAGGATTTCTATCACCCTTCACTAACGCTTTTAGTCAAGCATGCCTGCAATGGGTGTTTTATTGCCCCGCCTGCAAGCCGCGCTGGGTTAGCAGGCATTGCCCACACTGCGCTGCAGCCACGGGAGCACACACCAAAGTGGAGGAAGAAAAAGTGTATTGCGGAGAGACAAGTGTTGCTCTTGAAAGAACTACTGCTGCTCTTGGGACGTCGGGAGTCGCAAGGCTGGGTGGTGTGGCTAGGCTGCCGAGGTGCCTGCACGGCATGGCCGGTTTGAGCACTCCCCGGGGTGGGCACGGCATACCCTTTGGCAGCGATAGCGTTGGAGACCACCGGGCCGGCATGCAGTGCAGGGTCCCAGCCTGCTGCCAGGATATTGGTGGTGGTGCTGCGGTGCTCCCAGCCTGGGGACCCTCGCTGCTGGAGACAAGAGGCGGTGCAGGAGGAGAGGAGTGGTCCAGCAGCAGAGCCAGGAGGGGCTGCAAGGGACAGCTGTCAAACAGTGAGTAAGAGAAGAGGTGGGAAGACACAGCTGGGGGCTGCGGAGAGTTTTGTGTGCAGGTGGGTGGAAATATATGTTGCTGAGTACCAGTAGACCAGTATTACTTGACAGAAACATCCTATAAGCATTTAAAAATTCTTGTTAACATAAGGAAACAAGCTAGTCCTTCTCTGCAGGCTTTGACAAGCTCTAACCTATTTTGGTTTTCAAAAAGCTGAACTGCAGGGCTGTTGGTTTTTGAAATAAACTTGGCATGCGCTAAAGAAAAATCTTACCAAATCCAAAACAATTTATTACAGAGCTGTTGCTGGAGCACTGGGACAGTGATGAGGCAGGGAAGGCAGAAGACAAGGTGGGGTGAGCAAGAGATTAAAGAAAGAGTAAAAAGAAAAGAAATTTAAGAGACTGGAAGGAAAATAATTGAGACATTCAAACAGAAATAGCAGAGAAGGAAGGGAGGAAGACAGAGACTGGATGCAAAAACTGAATAAAAGGCAGTGTTTATGGAAGGGTGATAGGGTATAGAGGGGAACATTATTTTGAAAAATGATAATGAGGCTGAAAAAAAAGAAATCATTATGGCAAAAGGATAAGCCCATCCTGCCTTTCACTGCACTGCATTCAAACAGGTCACTTATAAAAGAGAAAAGACAGAGTCAGCAGAGGAGAGCAGGAAAGGAAAAGAAGGTAACCACGTCTCAATGCCATTGTTGCTGAAACCTTCAGCATGAAAATGTGGTCCTTTACCGTTCAAGCATGGAAGAAAAAACATTGTTGGCAAATGGCAAGGGTGATTCTTTGGCAAATGAGTGCCCTCAGTGCAAGTGTCATCCAGGGAACATGATGCATTTTTGTTTCTTCAAAATGCGCAGTGACGTGACAGTGAATTTGTGTGACAGGAGGGAATAAACAGCTCATAGAGGAGTTGGTGTATACTCTGCATGCTGCTGGGAAGGACTGAGCAACTGAAATACCATAAGTACTTATCAGCTTAAGCAAACTTTCACCACTGGCAATTACTTTATAAACATTTAGTCATGTGCCTCAAAGAAAAGTGTCCTAACTCAGCTTTGTTCTTCAAAAGTCAAGGTGTAATGCAGTATGATGAAGACACCCTAACATTTCCCTGTTGCAGAGATGCTATTTGCCTGGGTGGGATTTCTTATTAGTTATGTGTGGGGAAGCAGATGTGAAACCAGCTGTTAAGAGCTGAACATGTAATTCCTGTAAAATGCAATGACAATCTAGTCTGAGGCCTTAATTTGTCTAAAAGCAACCATCTGCAAGATATTTTTCAAGCAGTATGTAAATGAAACTAGCACTAGAATTTTCCCCTTAGTGCAAGAAACAAGGTCCAGCAAAAGGACTTATAGCACTGGCTTAAGGCATTGGTTTTAGATCCCATTTCTGTCATGAACGACCTCTTTGACCTTACACAAGTTACTTTATCAGTGTTTGTACATGGGTTGGACAATGGAACGCACTGTTGGTTCAGGACTCCATGTGCTATTGCAGGATAAAAAATAAAAGTAAAAAGATAAAGAAACAAAGTTAAAACCACCAAAAATGTTTTGGCAGGAGGTGGAGAAGGCTCATGAAGCTCCTGTTTTGATTGTGCTGGGGCTTTACTGAGATCTAAATGGAGGCGAGGTTGGGCTATGTACAACTCCTCAGTCCTCCTGCCACCCATAGGATAGTCCTGCAGGGCTTATGGACCTGTTCCCTAGCTCACAGAAGTCAGAGAAAAAACATCTATAGCTCCAAAAGATATGGTTGGTGGAAGAAGATGTAGATCTTACCATACTTATGGACTGACAAAAAATTATTATATTAGATAAATGAAGGAATAACTCATACCCACCTGCCTGTACTGTCCTAACCCTCTGAAGAAAATAAAAGCAATATTATCCATGTATTTTTAGAGCCAATGATCACTCATTATTCATGTTTAGGGGTAAATTTCAAGACTATAATGGAACTTACAGACATGATCTCATAGCAAATGATTAATTAACAGCTAGCCGTGTACAGAAAGTCGCATCATTTATTCACAGCCATGGCAAACCACATCTCCTTAAAAAAGTGAAGTGTTTGCACAGGCATGGAAATAAATTACAAATGCACAGAGATCAGATTGCATTAAGAGGAGCAGTGTGGATAAGTACTGCAGCTCCTGTTTCATGAAGAACTAAATGAATTTTGGTGTTAACTCTAAGGAAGTTTGTTCATGGTTGCGTCTCTCATCATGGTAGCTGTTTATGTCCATTTCAGGCAGTCAGGAAGACGCCAAACAAAGTGTAAAAATAAAAAAACCCTCAGCTCATCAATATGTTATTAACACACAGGGAGTAGTATTGTAAAGGCTCGTTACAATATGAGTTGAGAAAAATAGATAATTCAAAGACATGTTTGAACTTAGGACAGTGTCTCAACCCTGGTAATAAAATAAAATATCATGGAAGAGGGCCATATTATGTAACAAATAGTTTCACTGGGATGCACTTCATCAGTGCATATTCACGAGAAAACCTGTGGCTCTGCAAACGATGCCCCATCCACAGACACGTGGCCAATGCCTAACGTTCAGAAAGTGACAAATAGAAAAGAGAGGAAATGGCTTTTAGGCATTTTGTTGTGTTAACTCTTTGTAAAGCAATGTATTAACACATAGATTTGCTTTCTGAGTTCGTCTTCGAGATGTTTCATGTTTTGTAACATTTCAGTTCACCTTTACAAGTCTGAAGAGAGCTTTGAATAAATGCTACTGGAAAAAATGAGCCATTTAAGTTGAAGAGAAGTATGTTTTACTGTATCTTATCCAGCTTTATTAACTATCAGTCGAAGTGAAGTTTGCTTTTCATTTAATGTTTTATTGCTCACACACAGATATACTTTGGAGAATGAGGTGCATGGCAGAGGTAACATAACCCAGGAAGGTGGAAAATTTTTGTAAAAGTTTTTGTAAACATGAGAGAACTCAGAGTCAATGATACAAAGAACCAGAGAGAGCTAGGTTTGTATAATCCTACAAAACAAAGAATGAAAAGGCTCTTGTCAGAAAATACATGCGGCTGGTGGGAGGAAAGAGAGGAGCTATTTATATTAAAGAACAATTCTTGGCACAAACCTGGGTAGATATACACTGCCTAGGATTAAATGTGAGCTGGGAATTAGAAAATCATGTTGACATTGGAGCAATGAGATTACAGATCCTATGCCCTGGGTGTGTTCACCGAGGCTCTGGTTGCAATGTCATAACTGAGATTGGGCTCTGGTTCCATTTATACAACTACCAAACATCTCTTTTGTGTGAAACAATACAGCATATTCTCCCCTACGCACGTCAGCGACTGACTGAATGAAAAACTAATTTTTTAATAATTTATAATTAATCCATTGATGAATAAACAACCTAAAATGTACAAAACCTGGGTTGAATGAAACCTTTAAAAAGGACTTAATTGTCCTGAATACTCTTAGCAATGGAGTAATGGCCATTTCAGACTTTCTTTCTCCTGGAAAATAATTGAACACTTATTCTCAGGACAAATTTGCAGACACAGGGTTTTAATTAGACTACTATGGACTGTAGTATCTAATTGCTGTAATTATGCAGACTACAGCCTGAATCGTTAGGGGTAGAACTGGCAGTCCTGCTGCTTCCTCAGCATGAATGTTTCCCAGTAAATGGTGGAAAACTCAGTGGGGAGATGGATCTCACTGGCAGGACTGCCTGGTCTGCAGGGAGCTTGTGAAATCTCCGTTCTTGGAGATACTCAAAGTTTGACTTGACAAGGCCTCATGTAAATGGCCTAACTGTGAAGTTAGCTCTGCTTGGAGCAGAGGGTTGGGCTAGAGATTTCCTGAGGTCCCTTACCACTGAAACTTTTCAATGTCCCCTTCAAAGAGCAACTCCGTCACAGTGAGGTGCAGGTGAGCACGAGGCCAAAAGGGAGCAGATCTGAGCTTAAGTTGTGCCAAGGGAGGTTTAGACTAGATATTAGGAAAAATTTCTTTACTGAGAGAGTGGTCAAACATTGGAACAGGCTGCTCAGGGAGGGAGGTGGTGGAGTCACCATCACTGGAAGTGTTCAAAAAATGTGTAGACGTGGCACTTTAGGATATGGTTGAGTGGGCATGGTGCTGTTGGGTTGGCAGTTGGACTTGATGATCTTAAAGGTCTTTTCCAACCTTAACGATTCTGTGATTCTGTGGTCAGAGGCAGATGAAGAGATGACAGCAGCTGTGGGGGGTGAGGAAGAGCTGTGGCCAGTGGGATGCATGCAGAGCACAGGCAGTTCCCTGCGATGAACCTCGGTGACAGCAGTGCCTGCAGCGGCAGTCCTCTTCATCCTCCCCGACTCCACCTGCAGCCAGGAGTGTTGTGGGTGGCAGTGACTTCCTAAAGTGACTGGCTTGTGAGAATGTACCATTTTGGGTTCCCCAATAGAGGAAAGATGTTAGTAAGCTGCTCTCTCGAGTCCTGTTTCCTAAGACATCAACCAAATAGTCTGGGATGTTCTTACAGTGTGAAGGTTTGAGCCTCGTGAAGACTAGGGTATACAGTGTTCTATCTCTGAGCAATGCTTTAAGATTTGCCCACCTTCAAAACAGCACCATTTCCCCTGGCTATTTCAGGGACTGAAGTCACAGCTGCTGCTCTGCCTTCATCCTTCCTTCACTTTCTGCTTGGTAGAAGCAAGTGCTTTTGCCCTCCCACACGCAGGGGATCCACCATCTGCCTGGGCAGCAGCCGCACCGTCACTCCTCTAAGGGCGGTGGGAGGCCCTGAGTCTGTTGAGGGGGAAAGGAAAACAAAATGCCTTAGCATTAGCAAGGAGCTTTCAGTTCTGAAAAATAGTAGCTAAATTCATACTACCCTTTAAGGAAGAAGAACTCATGAATTACAGCAGCTCTGGTTAACAGAAAGCCTGAGAAGGTGGGCAAGTATGTATGTGATGCATGCATGAGAAATAAGGAAAGAGGCAGATGAACAGGGGAAAGAACACAGAAGGATATACGCTGGGGCTGCAAAAAATCAGTGGCAATCCAAGGTATGGAAAAGGGACCAGTTACATACTCCTTTATTTATTTAAAGTCTAGAGAACTCATGTATTCTCCTATTTAAAAGTGGAACTTTTTTCTTTCAGCAAAATGATAAGTCAACTTTTTAATGAATCACTGAAGAGAGACAGGTGATTTTGGAGTGGGAGGAGGTGAGACAAAATATCAAGTGCAACTTTAAAGAAAACCATTTAACCTAAGTTGGAGCTGAAAAATTAGATTGTACGCCTCCATCTCGGAACTAGTTAAGACCTTTTAAACTAGATAAACATGTGCTTCTTGGGTTTGTAATAATTGGATTGGGGATCCATTATAACAACGTAGCATTTGACCACTGCTTACTGTTGTGGGATTAACATTACTTGGTTGATATTTCAATTCACCATACATATCTTTAACTACTTATTGACAAACATTATAGAAAATGAGACAGGAATCTTTTCCTGATAGCATCAGGTACTGATGACTGTCAGAGGTGAAGTGCCAGCTCAGCTGAATCAACAGCCTTTCCTGATACATGACTAAGTGCTTAATAACCCAGTGCTCCTAGCAAATAATACTATTTGAACCAGGGCGCCTGGCTTTTTAGCCTTAAGTTGCTGGCAGCACAAATTAAGTCAAAGGCCTTTGGTGGTGGTGTTGTATATGCTTTTACAGACCAGGTTTTTTTCTCCCTTCCAGGTCTTGGCTTTTGTTACTCTATTATAAATGGCCCTGCTAATGCAACAGTCCTTGCTGGTTCAGAAGCCCGGTTTAATTGCACTGTGTCAGTAGGATGGGTAATTCTCATTTGGCTGTCCAATGGAAATCCTGTCCTCACTGTCATCAGTTCTCAAGGACCTATTGAAACATCGGACCGCTTCACTTCTCAGAATTATACTGGTAGCAACGGGTTTACCTCGGAGCTGATCATTCACAACACCCAGCTGAGTGACTCTGGAAAAATTGAATGCAGCACCCAGCAACCTAGTGAGAGCAGCTTTGCATTTCTTTCTGTTCAAGGTGCGTATAGCCACCAATAGAAAGCTATTTTATTATACTGCACTTAAAGGAATCCTCTGATGAATTGCTCAAATTATCCCTGTGAAGGAGTACATGCTCTCATTTACCGTCCTTTGCCTCCTGTCCTCCTTCTCATAATTTCACTGTCAAAGCAGGTTTCAGAGTCACATTCAGAGTGCCATTAACAAAGGTTATAACTGCCCTTGTTTTTTCCTGTTACATTTCTTTATTGGATTGCATTAAAGTCCCTGAAGGCCCACCAGCAGTCAGTCAAAAATTATCTTTTGGTTAGAAACAGTATTGATTACCCCTATGCACATGTTTGTACATTAACCTTCTGCCGTCTTTAGAGCAGATCTCCCTCCTGCTTTCTGACTCAGGAATCGGTCTGTATCCATCTTATTTGAGTTTGATTTAATGGCATGTAGAAGTAAAGCCCTTGAGACACAAGGTGACACTCTTCATATGATTGCTGTTGCAAGCTACCGTTTCCAAGGAGCAAAGGGTTCCTGTGTACCAAGCCCCTGTATTTGAGACCTCTTCCTCCTCTCTGAAGCAACAGTAGTGACAGTGCAGCCAGTAAAGCGAGATCTAACCACCAGGCACCATTCATTTGTGGAAGAGGTGCTTCATGCAATGAGGACATCTCGTCATCTACCCTTAAACCTTTCCTGATAAAACCCAAGCATACTTAAAACTTAGAAACACTGTTATTTCATTATGTTGTCCTTCGTCTGGAAATATATCGGGATGGCTAAAAACTGTAATTGCCTGGTTTTTATTGGAAAGGTACTGAAAGCTGAGACTTGTGCTTTAGACATACTGGACAATGTGTCCCTGAAGTAGCAATATCTGCATGTTTGTATCATGCATATGGTATATCTTTGTTAATAACGACTGGTTTTGACTTCATGTCTCAAGGCATAGCTATTTCTGAGTAGCAAGGTAAGATTTAAAACTATCAGCAGG